CTTACAAATTTCCTGAATTTCCTGAATAATCTTTACTCCATGAAAAACATTGAAAAGATAATTTTTGGTCGATTAGTTCTGTTGAATTTCAGCAATACTCAGATCATTTCACTTTTTTGAAAGTTTTGCATAACGCTTTTGAGTCCAAAAAATTGCTCAATTTTGGCGGAGCAAACGAACAACGAAATTTATCAATCGGAATTTCGCCAAACTTGTAGTCAAAAATAGTGATAACTTTTAATTTTTATCAATTTAAAATTTGAACAATAATTCCGAATCCAAACCTTGATAAAAACAAGAAAACAGATAAGAAAACAAACATGGAGTTATGCGGCAAGTTATCTTTAAAGTCATTTTATGATTTCAAATTATTTTAAATCTATTGAATCACACGGATTTCATTGCAAATTTCGGTTACCACTTGCAGCTGTTTTGAGCTCCCACTCGGTCATTCCTCATAGCTATCTTATTTCTCTGAATTACAGCATCGTGGTTCGGAAGGTACAAATCGAAAATATTCCGCAATTTTAAAATGGAAAGGATTTTGGGGCAATTTAATTTTATATCTTTCAGTTAATCAATAAAAATCATTTATGTTCATGATATTTATCACTCTACAGTTTGCCAATATCCAAGAAAAAAATATACGCATAAAATTTAACGCCGTATATTAATTACGAAGTTTTACATCAACTTCGGATCTTAGTTCCACGATTTCTCCATTACTCTTTCTCGACATTGTGACACTCTCGATATTCAATCCAGGAGATACGGAGGTTCAATAAGCAATCAGTTGAATTGGCTTACAGTATGAAGTGAAGGTGACAATTTTATTCAAATTCTTCTATTTCAAATGTCACAGTATTTTTTGTTCCGAACATGGCAATGAGCGAACGGATCTGAAACAGTTGTTACTGATATCACTATGATGCTTCATTATCAATATCATATCATGACAGTATAAAATTATTTCAAAGACTACTGTGAGATCAAAAAAGCAATATGAATCAGCCAGAAAATCTTTCAGTCTATTTTTATCGAAACACCGAAAAAAGAGAAACTTTATGAATGCGTTTAAAAACAATGGAAATTTTCGTCTTACTGCAAATCTCGACAGCTAGCATAAAACCATAATACTTCAAAAAATCACCATTTAAATTCAATTGAAAAAAGCAATTACTGATATTTTATTAACAAATCGTTAATTGACCGTTTTCAATTTCAATACTATTTTGTGAATGTATTAAAATGAAGTGATATTCAATGCTCAGTCCATCGATGAAATCTTTTACATTGCATCAAAAGTTTGATGAAACTTCGATTCATACATTGTTTGTGACGAAATTATGCAATATTTTCGGAGTGAAAAGCACTGAGTCAAACA